AAACAGAGCACTATAGCTGATAATTAAATGATGACGTTCTTTATCGATTTCGGTGAACCTTTGATTAAGTTTATTCGGTATTTTTGTTGATTAAAGACTAATCTGGGATCAGAACGAAGTATTCTAGGAATTGTGTAAGATCATCTAGGCGCGATTTTGGAGGCCACTAACCAAAAGGACCGTCTGTCACTGTGACGACCGCCTGCCTGTCAGCCGTCTGTCTCATGGGTTGAGTTGGCGAAATTGGGTAGGGGAGACCGGGGCAACATGAAGTTCGGGGCAGGACGGGAAATAAGCTTGTGTCCATGAATGGTAATCGTGTTCGTACCGGTAACGGCGCCATTTGCACGAAATTCAGACTGCGCAAGTGCGTCCGAGCAGAGCGAACGTGTTGGATCTCGTTTTTGCGTTGTATAGGAAAAAAACTGATTTTGCAAGTGTTTTATCCAGTTTTTGGTGAAGAAACTGATGTGCAGACATGTAAGTACTTGAATTAATATAATGTTTTAATCCTCAGCGTGTTGTAGTACTATAACACTTTAAATTCAGATTAGATTTTTGCGCCAATAAGATTTAATATTAGAATTGTTTCAACTTATTTGACTACATGTGGGTCGGGGCACAATGATCGGGGCATAACGGGATACTATCCCGTTTTGCCCCTTCCTTGTGGTTTAAATAATACCTTCTGTGTACCTACTTACCTATCGATAGTATTGCAACCTGGTTTTGCAAGCGTCCATAGGCTACGGTAACCGCTTTCCATCAGGTGAACTGTAAGCTTCTTTGCCGACTTAGTGGTATAAAAAAAAGTATAAGTACATATTGTTGTAACTACTACATTAGCAAGACATATTGTTGCTTTTCTCATAAAGTTTTTTTCTCAGATACAATGGTTCGGAACTATAAACGAAAAACAGATCGTGGCAAATGGGACCCTGAAGTTCTGGGTCTTATGGGTTCTTAATAACAAGATGGGGCTTCCTCGAGCCTCTGCTACATATGATGTTCCGCCGCCGTGTAAGAAAAGCTCGTGATACTGTGGATGACGACACTGATTCCGGTAACGACTAAGTATGGGAAAAAGCATTTGTGACGATTCAAAACTGTTTTTACAGCAAAACAAGTAGATGAGTTGGCGCAATGTGTGAAATCTATGGAAGCACGGTTAACAGGAAAATAACTTCGTGTAATAAGCTTATCAGTTGGCTCAGCGAAATCATATAGATAGCCCACTTAATGAAGAAACTGGCATGGCAGGAGAAGATTGGCCCAGAACCGACATCAGCCGCAAGAGCTATGCATAGCATAGCCATAGAACGTATGTCCCACCCATGTACAATATACGCTCGGAAGCAGATGCGAGATGAACTTTTGGATGAACGGAAGCGGATGAAGACTGATGGACAGAAGACTTAAAAAGATAAAAAACGAATACATAAAGTTGGAAATAAGAAAATAAAAAGGACTGAAAACGAGCGTCAAGCTAAAAGACTCGCCAAAGAAATCGAATCGGAAGAGGAGGACGGTGACTGGGCCTGCGTCTATTGTGGTTACTTATACTAAGAGTCAACCGAGGGTTGGGCTATCTGCAGTATTTGCCATGGTTGGGCACACGATTCCTGTGCCGGAGTAGATGAAGAAGACGACGAGGCACACATTTGTGAACGCTGTCTGCCCGATTAAAATACGTACTCCTTTTGCCCCGTAGCATTTCCCGTCTTACCCCGTCCATGGGGCAAGACGGGAAATTCGCCTCATTATCGTTAATCATTATTTGTCAAAAAAGTTCTGTGATTTTGCATGATAAAATTATTAATTTTAAGACACAAATGTATAAGTGTTACTTGTTTTCTTAAAGAATTTAATTAAAGAGTATAATTGTCTTTGTACAGCGAGTTTTGTCTTAGCTATCTCATCTTGCCCCGGTCTCACCTAAAATGGCTCTAATCCTTTCTTGCCTTTTTCAAATTATATCTCGAAAACTTGAACTAAAAACGGACTATTTTGGAATATCATGAGATACACAATAATTGTTTACTAATACATATATTTTCTGTCACGGTAACTCTGTTTGCGATTTTCTTATGTTGCTAAAAACACGCTGAGGTCTTGAAGAGTCTCACTTTATATATAATACTTACATATATATAATAGGTATCACCCATCATCGGATTTAGAGTTGATTCCAAAGCTTTCAAACACACAACCACTGAGCTTTAAATTTGCTTATACAATTTAAAAAGGACTGAGGTGAAAAGCCCATTGAAAAGCTTTATGCTTTATAAGCATGATTTGTTTTAATTTATTTATAGATAATTTGTAAATTTGTGAGGTAGGTAAACGATGTCTATTAATTAATTTTAATCTGAATCATATTGCCATCTATCCTAAGATGAATTAAGCAGTTACGTGAATTGCTTATGGGAATAATCATCTTATATAGATAGATGGCGTTAAATTACATTATCGTCATAAAATTTTCATTCACAGTCCACGTACATAAAAAGAATTCGAAAAACATTCTCAACACAGATTGTAAAAATTATGTATCAAATAACAATGCTCATTAGAGGGTAGAGGTTAAGAGCCCACTCTCTGTTCATGAAAAGTGTCCGCAAAAAACACTGAAGTATGGCAGAAAAGAAACCATTTATGATGGCGCCACAGATTAATAAAATTGTTACTACGAAAGATGGCGCCGTCGTAATAAGTCATGTAATTTCAAAGGTAGCGCGAAATGTTTTGTATTACTTTCAACACAGCACACTTCACTCCCTTTATAACTTGCTATATTCATGTCATACCACTACTTCACTAGCGTTATTTTTGGGCATTATATTTTAGTTCTGATTTGCTGTTTACAGCTGGATAGTGTTATAGGTTGTTCCCATTTAAGACAGGTCTCCTTACCTCCCTTCATGTTGCAACAATCAAGTAGACCTTTACTTCAGTGAGTATAAATATATTAAGTGTATAATCTATGTATAGTACCGTACGGTACCGGTAAAATGGGGCGATTAGGGACAAATTCCAACTTTATGACCAATTTTAGGGTAGTTGTTGATGTATATAATGCTATATCAGGATCAAAATGATTGAGTCTTGGGGGCATCTTTGTTGTCCAATTTAAAACTACGCAACTAGCATTGCAGTTTAAGCAAAAAAAGCAAAAATAGGTGTAATCCCTATTTACCCGGAAATTGCGGTTAATTGGGACGAAATGAGAAATTTGCTAGGGTTGTATGGTTTTAATTAATTTATTTAGTTGCATAAAAAATATTGAAAAGCTGAAAAAAGTACATGGGAGATGTCACCTCTCCCCCACTCTGAACAAATATTAAATATTTTATTATGTATTACTTAGACATTTTTGTCCACCTTGAGATTTCATTGTTCTTGTTACATGTCTGTGAAAAATCGACTTACTTATATTAAATTGCTTAGCTATTTCAACTAAAGACTTATTCCCAATTTCATAGGCTGTTCTATTGCTGTTTTTAATATTAAGGGATCATATCTCTTATAAGGCTTTGCACTCTTTGATAGATACACGCGAGGCATATCTAAAAACAGAAAACAATACTTAACTGATAATATAAATATTTACCAAACAATAAAATAACACATTGATAATTTTGAATAAAAGTTCTAGACAAAAACATCATGAATAAACTAGATTTTTACCAACAAATTTAAAAAATATTGTTATAACTACATAGACAACCCTACAAACCTGTACCTATTTATACTTAGGTCGTTTCCATTTCACGTATTCTCATCCCAATTGACCATTTTTTCGTTGTTATTTGTACCTAAGACGTCCCCAATATCCCCAAAAACAACAGATTTTGACATGTATTTTTATTTTATCAAATACATTAAAACCAATAACAACTGAGACTTACCTTTAATATATATGATGGTTCAAACACTAAATAACGTTTATAAATCACAGTCGTCTTCTATTATTATCAAATAAATAAAAGAGAGCAAAGTTTCTAGCACTAAAATAATTACCACCACAGGAAGTTAATTTGAAACGTNAAAACAACAGATTTTGACATGTATTTTTATTTTATCAAATACATTAAAACCAATAACAACTGAGACTTACCTTTAATATATATGATGGTTCAAACACTAAATAACGTTTATAAATCACAGTCGTCTTCTATTATTATCAAATAAATAAAAGAGAGCAAAGTTTCTAGCACTAAAATAATTACCACCACAGGAAGTTAATTTGAAACGTGATTTTTTATAAGTTAGCAGCTATTATCATGCATATTCAGAGTTGTTTTGTAAACTTTCAACATTCTACTATTAAACTACAAAAAATGGAAGATTTTGCAACGAATATAAAACTAATGTTGAGCATCGAAAGATTTTTCCGGTTTTTTCCCGATTCGCCTCTCAATCCCTAATCGCCCCATTTTACGGTACGCATTAAGTAACGCAATGATCTTTACTTTGTCTGTGATTCATTGTTCTTTCAAAGCTGTCAGTTGTCAAAGCTGTTTTTTTTTAAAGGATTTTATGACCTGGTAACTAAGACCTTTATTTTAATTTATATTCTAATTTTTATGAAAAATGATAATATGGAGTGAAATGAAATGAAGATGATTAATTTGAGCATTAATCAACTGGGATGAAATTAAATGAAATTAAATGAGATTAAATATAATCTCAGTAAAATGGTGGCCATTTACTAAGATTTTTCCAGTGGACTTTTTGGAGGATCCCGAGAAGTTACGTTCAGCGGCTTTGTTTCATTTTCCCACATTTGTGCACTTTCACAGATATTAAAGAGTTAATTAACCACCGTTATTACACATTTAAACTTGAAGAAACATTAAATAGACAAAAAAAAACAAATCACAAACTTCACTCCTCGCGCTCCCGCCAAAAAGTCTGTCAAAGTTGTCAGTGGTTTCATCGCATAGACCTTTAAGTGGGTAAGGGATCTATAAGTAGTCTGTGTTTGGCAGTTGGCACTAGTTAGTTACGTTGGCTGACGTTGTGGTTTACGCGATATTGACTTAATTTTAGTTCAAATTTTAAAATTTTAAATTAAAGTGATGGTGTTTTATTCATGATGGATCTGCATTTACTACATTGCATTTAAGATCTTAATTATATCTTTAATAGATAAAATTACGTTTACATTTCGTAATTTGATAATAAAATGCCTTTTGTAAACATTAAGAAGCATTATATAGCATTCGGGATGTTACTTTTTGTTTTATTATTCTTATTTAATAGCAAGCCGGCGTTTCAGTGTCAGTTTAGCCAAGAGCCCCCTGCGTACTTGCCCACGATTTATGGGATCACACCGACATACTCAAGATTAGCCCAAAAAGCTGATCTCACAAGGTAAATAAAACTCTCGAACGTGATCTTTTCGCCCTTCAATGTAATTTATTAAATCTCTAAACTAATATGTTTGGCAATGAACATCAATTAGTAGACTATAAGCGTGCTAATAAAACATTTGCATTTAAGTAGTTATTTTGAGACAAAAGTACATTTAATTAAAAACATTAATTAGCAGAGTTTAATTTTAGTAATATTATATTATAAAGTATTAATTTCATTACTTTTCCATAAGCATGAGTTTTCAGCAAAACTAAAACTTATGATTTGATTCTCTTATCAAAAAGTATGGTAGTAATAAAGTGGTTTTTTCCTCATGAAAAATGGTTTTAGTCAAATAGTCATTAAATTGGACATTTGGTGTATATTTTTATCAAATGATACAACAATGTCTTTGTTCTTTTTGTCAAAACCAATATGAAAACCAATTATGATAAGTAAAAATTCACCTAATTTGTCACAAATTAATTTCACAGTAAAGGAATGTGTTAATATTATTGAAAGTGAAATAAGCTCTAAAATTGCACTTTTAGTGGTGATAATGCATATCATGTTTTGAAGTTTGGAATGGAAAGAGCTGTGATCCTGTAACTCTTACCTGGTTTTTCGACAAGTTGTATTGCCGTTGGCCATTATTAGATGCAGCGTGCAGCAATTTTCAAAAAAATACAAGCTCGTAGTTTTCTACCATGATAATATTAAGTTCTCAATTACTTGATTGACTAATCACTAAATTATCATAAAAACCCATTCAATAATTGTTTCAAATTTTGTCCAGGCTGTCACAAACATTGATGCTCGTAAAGAATTTCCATTGGATCATCATAGAGGATTCAGAAACAAAAACTAAATTGGTTGAGAATTTATTGAAAGAATCAGGTCTGAAATACACTCATTTAAATGTGAAAACCCATAAGGCAAAACATTCAACAGTAAGTACAATTTATTAATCAAACAAGTTCTAGTTTTAAGTATTTTACCACAATTACGAGTATTAAGCGGTAGGCAGCGGCTTGGCTCTGCCCCTAGCATTGCTGAAGTCCATGGGCGACGGTAACCACTCACCATCAGGTGGGCCGTATGCTCGTCTGCCTACAAGGGCAATAAAAAAAAATATTACCATACCTCACAGTAATATTCAATACCTGCAAATAGGGCACATCTTGAATAATCAAAGAAAATTATTAATTTATATTCTAACTATGCTTACCATATTATTTGCTAGGTTTGAGAATCAGTGTGATGTATTAGGAAATAGTTAGATCCTGAGAATAATGTCCACATTGTTTCATCTTTAATTATTTTACAGTTACTTAAGTTCCCTGATAACGGGATCTAGGTACGCTTTCTAATTTGAAAGATAACAAAGTGAAAACTATCCATAATACACTATTGATTATGTCTCGATTTCAAAATATGGCAAGTGTGCTGTTTTGGACAACCGTAATGACCATTAAAAATAGGTGAAAATACAAAAAAAGTTGTAAAACTAAAAAACAATAATATTTTGCAGGTTATGGATATAAATATTTGCATATTTAAAACGGACAGATACAACACAACTTGGTATTGTGTATGTAGTAAATATACTTTTGCCATAATTAAGACTGATTATGAATGTAAAAAAGTTAACACTATATAATTTGTGTACTACTTCACTGTACTTGATGGAATCGTTTTAATTTGGTTTTTTTTTTAAGTAACAATGAATTAGTATTTGTAACAGGGGTAACTAAATAACCTTTTGGAATTTCAAACTAATCAAAATAACATACTTCAGTGAAATTCAAAATCCATAACCCAAAGAGAATTATTGTATTTACAGAACTTTATTGTTGCTAATTAGTAAAGTTACTTATTTCAATTTTGAGTTCATAAAAATATTTGAATTACCTAATCCTTGCGTTTTTGTGTACAATAATCAATTATTTTTATAATGTTTTTTTTACTATCCTTACTTTTCTATCTATGTATTTGTAATAAAGGGTGCTTGTTTTTTTTTTTAAAAAAAAGGTTTAATATCAGAAGCTCTGTCATCGGCGTCACTTCGAATCCACCCGATCCATTAGCTTTTAGACATTCCAAGCACCGCTCACCATTCTCGTCGAATTCGTCGAATGCGACGAAGAGTTTGTCGTTACTCACCGACACAGCCCACTGAGTTTCTAGTCGGATCTTCTCAGTGGGTCGCGGTTCCAATCCAGCGGTAGATTCAACGAAGCACTGACCCTGCTAGGCCTTAGTGTTGGCAAATTCATCAGGTTGAGCCCTGTGACTTCGCCTACACGTTAAAGTTCCTAGTATAACCGTCCGAGGCTACGAGAATAAGCAGGCAAAAACAATATTCACAACAAACAGTACTGTGGCTGTGGATTTCCGTGCGCAACTATGACTGCTACCACNTTCCAATCCAGCGGTAGATTCAACGAAGCACTGACCCTGCTAGGCCTTAGTGTTGGCAAATTCATCAGGTTGAGCCCTGTGACTTCGCCTACACGTTAAAGTTCCTAGTATAACCGTCCGAGGCTACGAGAATAAGCAGGCAAAAACAATATTCACAACAAACAGTACTGTGGCTGTGGATTTCCGTGCGCAACTATGACTGCTACCACGAGTAGGGCCTTTTTTGCATAGACGGGTCAATAGCCCAATTCACAGCTCATCTAATTTTATGTAGTAACTAAAGTGTATAGATATCACTAGGTGAATGCCGCGACCCACTTCAAGATATGAGTCTCAGTTGTATAGCGTAACCACAGTTCCACCCTTCAAACAGGTAAGCGTTAATGCTTCGCATTATAAATAGGTAAGATGGTGGCATCTACCTGTGCCGACTCGCAAGTAAATAAAGACAAATAAACATTCGCCTATATTAACAAAAAATAAAGTACTAAAATTGTAAAGTGTTTGACGATCATTATCATGGCCAACCATCATGAATATAATAATAATAATAGCTTTAAAGAACCCTAAAAATTTATCCAAATTTACGTACATACTTACGTTCATTAGAGTAGCCAATACGTTAAACTGTACTGAGATTTTTATTATCATTTCAGTATAGTACATAATAAATAGTCCAACTGATTTTGGCCATAGAATACCTCTTTTTAGGTTACCTGTCAATTGGCCTCTCGTTTGATTTATCTTCTGGGAATCGACGATAGATAGGTTGCCAGTTTATTCTGGTATCTCTGCAAAAATTATTCGCCTTGGAACTTAAAATTGTTCGTGTTGTTTAAAAGTTTGTGTTTATCGTAAGCTGTATTCTAAAAGTACCTTAATATTGGACATGAATTATTCTTCACCATCAACCACCTTCGCCGTAGACTAGCGGAGTAGATTACGTGATAACAGAAGCTTCTATTTAAAATATATATCTACTTTTGAATTTATGACTTAATTGATAATTTAATTTCCTTGACTAAAATAAACACCCTTTATAGTTCTACCCAAATTAATGATCGTAATTATAATATTTCCAATAATGGATTATTAATTAGAAGAAGAAGAAGAAAAAAAAACGAGTGGATCATTTTACAAATTTAAGTATCGCAATAACAATTATGGGATGTTTTTAAATATTTGTTTTAATTTGCATTGTGTTTGAAATTATGTTTTGATCGAAAGCAATAAAGCTCATTACGTTTTGTCAACTTTAATTTGCAGGCGAGCGGCGTTGAGCAGAGAAACGCTGCGTTGGACTGGTTGAAGGGGCATTTAAATCAAATTGAAGACAAAAAAGGCGTAGTTTACTTCATGGATGACGACAATACATATTCATTGAAAGTTTTTGATGAGGTAAGTGTTTCAACTGATTCGGTGGTGACGATTGGACTGAAGATCTATGAAATTTCAAGTCTTTAGATATTTGGTAACTTGATTTGCCAGCATCGAGCCCACAAACTATTAGCTTTTGAAGCTCTTCACACACGGGTTTGCCACGACCCATTGTTATTTGAAAACTAATGAAAATAACTGAAATTTTCAGAATTATTACTTACACTTGACAAATGACACAGAATTACTTTTACAAATTTAAATTATGCTACATAATGATACAAAGAAGGAATAATCTTAATATAGACGTACTATTTTGCATCGATTAACAATTTAACGAACTATTTTGCCTATAACTTCTTCGAATTTAAAACAGGATATCTATAAATTTAAAAAGCTGAAATAGTTTATTGATTCATAATTAAAAAGGGCATAAGTAACGCGAAATGGGATAGTAGGAACAGCTTAATATTTTATATAGATATATAAAAATAATGAAGTTAGAAAAATCTCACAGAGAAAATTTCACACTAGACGAACTATTTTACCCACAACATAGGGAATGTCGGATGAATAGAATTTGAAGCCGGATGACCGTGCATAATTTGTTCCCGGTTAATATTATTCCTTATTAAACGTATTACAATCGTAAATAAACCACATCGTCCAATGATTAATTATTATTAATTAATTTGTAAATCTGTACTAATATTAAAAGAGGAAAGAGTTGTTTGTTTGTTTATATTGAATAGGCTCCGAAACTACTGAACCGATTTTAAAAATTCTTTCACTGTTTGGAAGTTACGCTATCCCCGAGTGACATAGGCTATATTCTTTTTTTTTATTAAGGATCCTTACTAAAAATCCAATAGTGTAACCCAAGATGTAAAAAAATACCTAAAATGTTCTTTGATTGAAAACTATTGATGATAGAATAAAATAATGTACTAGAACTTTGTAGAACACATTATTATTTAAAAAAAGTGTCGCGACAGCATATGTCTAACTATTATAGTTATGCCACAATAAGTGTTATTTATATTTAAAAAAATGAAACAACGTCAAAGAAGCTCGGACTCAATAAACTCAATGGCTTTTGTTTTGTATGTATATCCTTTTTACGAAAATTAGAAAAATAATAATAAAATAGGTAAAGAATATATCATTCAAATTCAAATAATAATATTCAAACTATCTTTATAATTTTCTTTTTTTTAGTAACCTGACGAAAAATAGAATGGTTATAAATGGTGAAGGGTGTGCATATTATAATTTTTTTTATTTTGAAATATTTGTTAAGACCCGAGCGAAGCCGGAGCGGACCGCTAGTATTTTATATACATTACGAATCGAAATGATATATAACAATATCATTGGAAGAATCATTAAAAGAAAATGTGTATACACTCGAAGTGAATACAGACTTGAAATTTGTTTACAACATCCGAGCCGCGTATAAGTAAACAACGATAATACAAACTTCCTGTTATTGTTCTGACGCATTTATGTTTGGTTTGAAGATGCAGTTATAAAAATATGATATATACTTCCATTATGACATCACGTTGAACAAATGAAGTGTTTAAAAACATTAAAATAAGCCGTCGCTCGTATGTGCATTGCTATAGTTTTACTGAAAAAATTCCCGGTCATTGTTCTCGTCGAAACCGTCGCGTGCGACGAAGAGCTCGGCGAGTAAATTATCCCACAGACACAGCCCACTGAGTTTCTCGCCGGATCTTCTCAGTGGGTCGCGTATCCGATCCGGTGGTAGATTCTGCGAATCACGGTTCTTGCTAGGGTTCGTGTCAGCAACAACGTCAGGTTTGAGACCCGTGAGCTCACCTACTACTAGCCCGGTGACGCTGATATGGTCTTTCAAGACCATCAACTTAGGTAGGAAAAAAAACTGAAAATTTTCATTGAACAAAAAACACCGCTTTCACATTATGTATCGCTATTTTTACAAACATATCTGACGCTGATATGGTCTTTCAAGACCATCAACTTAGGTAGGAAAAAAAAAACTGAAAATCTTCATTGAACAAAAAACATCGCTTTCACATTATGTATCGCTATTTTTACAAACATATCTGACGCTGATATGGTCTTTCAAGACCATCAACTTAGGTAGGAAAAAAAAACTGAAAATTTTCATTGAACAAAAAACACCGCTCTCACATTATGTATCGTTATTTTTACAAACATATCTGACGCTGATATGGTCTTTCAAGACCATCAACTTAGGTAGGAAAAAAATACTGAAAATTTTCATTGAACAAAAAACACCGCTTTCACATTATGTATCGCTATTTTTGCAAACATATCCTATACTAAGTCCATGCGTCTAACTTTATCATCGTTCTTTAAACTATTAATAATTATTTCGAAACTGTATTGTGTTTGCGGTTATGTAATCGTGTTTCGTGTGATAAAAAAATTAAATTGTAACTTTTTTCAATGTTTTATAAGCACATACATATTTGGAGCATGGAACATAAATAATTTTAAAATTATGTACATATTTTCCTAAAACACAATTACACTTAATCGAAAAAAGCGAAATAAAATGTAAGAATGTTGCATTGAAATTATTTATTATACAGTTTATTATTATCAGATAGACGAAATTTTAATTTGTGAACAAAGTATCAAGATATCGATGAAAAAGGCCATTGGGACACAAATACTAACAATTAAATGAAATAAAACAATTATTTTTCGTTTATTCTATTTTTCAGTAAATAAAGTCTTACTATTCTGAAATGTTAACGCGTATTAAAGTTGCGTTCAGTGGGATATCGTAAATATTAGCGGGCAATTTCTGAAAAGAAAAAAAAAAACGCTTCGTTCTAATCCTCTTTGTACAAATATGACGGGAACGTACAAACTAAAATCAACAACGCCACGTGTATCTGAAACCGTGATAAAGCAGTTAAATGTAGCTGTTTCATAATCGAACGAACTATTGTGATAAGAAATATAAACATATCAAAAACTTTAAACCAAAACTTTAGAATTGAACGTATAGTGCTCAACAGGGTCATCGACATCTTATCGTAAATAATTTTATTCCTACACTAATCCAAATATTTACATAAATAAGACTTAATTATAAATATATATATATATATATACATACATAAGTAGTTTGTTGTATTCATCGTTTTAATTTATTTTGTATACCCAATAATTTACTTATTTTTAAACTTGAATTAAAAATAGTGTAAGAAAAAATGATTTTATTGTAAAAAAGCGTATTAAAATTTATTTTTAATTTTTTAGTTGGATTTTCTATAAAAGCGTATTTTTTTAGTTTTTAAACTTTTTTTTTTTTGTTTTTATTTACTTTAACATTTTTATCTCGTTTATTAACAAAAAGTCATCGTCGTCGTCGTTTTTAAACTATAATTTCTTTTTCATTTTTCAGTTGAATTTCATTTTTTCAACTTTTGTTTTAAATTTTTTTTGATATTGAATTGTCATCGGTCCTTAATAAGTATACCAAATTTCGAGTTAATCCGACGTTTTGAAGGTCGTCAAAATCATGTTCAAAGATTCCGTTACAAACATACATACGTCTGAAGCTAATAAAAGTGTATTAAAAAATAAGGTTTGTCTGATTGTTAAATTTCCTGCTTATTTTCGTACAACAGATGCGAAAGATAAAAAGAGTTGGCGTATGGCCGGTCGGCATCGTGGGTGGGATGAGAGTGGAGATGCCCCTAGTCACAGATGGAAAGATAAGCGGCTTCAACGCGGTCTGGAAACCGTTCAGACCTTTCCCTATCGATATGGCAGGATTCGCCATCAACTCAACTCTGTTCCTGGATTATCCAGAAGCTAAGTTCTCGAGGAAGGTTCAGTCTGGATTTCAGGTATGTATAGCTTTATTTATTTTTAAAATAGGCTTGAAAGCTTCAAAAAAAAAACAAGTTGTTGTTATTGAACAATACAGCAATGCTATAACTTGAATAATTTAAATATAAAAAAAAATGTGAAAGTCATATCTAACATAAAGATAATTTCAATTGATAACATTTGGTCACACATGAAACGAATTGACCGCAATTACGAACTGACGTGTTCGTTCGTTTATGGTTATTAGAGAAACGCATATAAATTGTGAGCAAATGTTCAGGGAATGATTTTTTTTATTTTTTATTCCTAGATGGGTGGACGAGCTCACAGCCCAACTGGTGTTAAGTGGTTACTGGAGCCCATAAACATTTACGATGTAAATGCGCCACTCACCTTGAGATATAAGTTCTAAGGTCTCAAGTATAGTTACAACGGCTGCCCCACCCTTCAAACCGAAACGCATTACTGCTTCACGGCAGAAATAGGCAGGGTGGTGGTACCACAAGAGGTCCTACCACCAGTATAAGTTGTTATACAAACTCTCAACATAAAAGTATCCGTGAACTGAACTATAGAAATTATGCATTCGAATTTCTAATTAAGCCTCTTATGTTCGTTGTAGGCGTGATTAATTTTTTTTAATACCAAACCCGAAACGAAATACTGCTAGAACAGTTTTAAGTAGAACAGTAGCTGCAGCTCTATAGCGATACTAAGAGTATATGTTAACTTTGTACGTACACAAATAAAATAATTATATGGATTGTGCAAAACGCATGCCCTTTCGTGATGTACACACAGAGACTTCGACCATTTAAATTTGATGTCGCATTCACGTTGTATAGATATAGTGAGAAAAGATTTTCCCTCGTATTTTCTCGGAAAAGTTCGTATTTATCGTGCTCTCTCGAATAATTTCAGTACAATGACATTATTCATTTTGACATTTGACACTAAACAATAAAGTTCCTTAATAATGGTTATGAAAATGTTACTTATTTAATACGATAATTCATTGACAGTTCGGGTGTCATCGAAATCCGATAAAGATCGGAGTTTTCCCGATGGAAAATTAATTTCTCACTACATCTATGAATGAATTCCAGTAACCAATGACCACAAGTCCGACCATAAAACCGTCTATTCGTCCATAGTATTTAAAAAAAACCAACCTTATCGGTTGTATCTGATTAATAAATTTCAAAAATTCCTTGGGAACGGGATGGGAGAGATATTGAACGATAGAAAAAAACGTTTATTTTTCATTTTTTAGTTGAATTTCAATTAATTTTTTTTCAATTTTTATTTAAATAATCGGTCCTTAATAAGTATACCAAATTTCGAGTTAATCCGACGCTTCGAAGGGGATCAAAATCATGTTCAAAGATTTCGTTACATACTAACATACATACGTCTGAAGCTAATAAAAGCGTATTAAAAAGCCAACTTTAGTTAAAAATTAATTTACACATTTAGACATAGTAGTAGTCGTTGGCATCGCAATATTAATAGCGTGACTAAAGGCGAGTCTGAAATCTTTAAATCTTCATCACAATATACGCATGTACAATAGGTACGTTGCGAATCATTAATTCGTGGAATTTTACAATCAAACCGGAAATTGTAATAGGCGATATTGTGGCTATCAAAACCTATGCGGTGAGCTAATTACTGGAGGAGGAATACGTAACGATGGGTTGACCTTGAATCCAGCCAACGCGTCATTACGATAAGTCTGTGTATCAAAAATTTTAACACCACAAGGTTGTGTGTGCTGTTAAAATTCTCAGTGTTAAAATTTTAATTCGATTATTGTTTATTACAGGAAAGCGAGATATTAAAGTATTTTACGACGAAAGAAGCAATGGAGCCGCTAGCCGAGTTCTGTACTAAAGTTTACGTTTGGCACACGAGAACGCAGCACCCATCAATACTCAACGTTAAGAAATTAAAACATCCACCGGTACCAGACGATCATATTGAAGTTTGATTTGTATGTAGTATTAATTTTTAGGTTTGAAAACTTTTACAACAATGTTCTTTTTTTTTTTTGGAGTTTATGGCCTGGTATCTAGACCTTTAGGCCAACAACAATGTTCTTAGAATTTCTGGTGTTGCCAATATACTTATACTATTTTGCTGCTATTTTAAGAGTCGGATGAAAGTTCTCAAGGTACTAGCCACATTTCTAAAGACTTTTTTATTACCAAAATATTTGTAACTCATCTAACATTTGATAATATTTCGTAAACTGTCGTCCCTCTAATTAGCCCACTGAAGTTGCAATATAGACGAAAATAATAACCTGTTGAGAAAATCTGAAGATTGCCAAAAAAATATCTGTATTAGTTACCAGAACATCACTCTGTATAAGGCGTACATACATAGATTTATAGAGATGGTAATTGAAATAGCAAATATAAAGCTTAATAACCGTACGTAATTTACAACCAAAAATTGGTTATCGCATTGAATCTTAAGTAGAGGCAATACATTGAATTTTAATAAAGGAATGTTTCCTACACTTGTTTGAAAAAAAATCGTGTAATCTCTTTAAGTTTATTTAAAAACAAAAAGTTATAAGACACTTGATAATCATAAATGTATGAATTCAAAGAGTAAATGGTTTTAGTAGGTTTTGTAAGGTAACGTCATCGCCTAAGAAATGTATTTGTGTAAATAAAATTCAAGAAAAGATGAAACTGCGAATGTTTCTTATGAGTCGTCTATTATCAAAGGTGGCAATCTGTGCATTTGGACAAAAAAATGTTATTGATATGTCAATACAGATTGATTTGAATATAATTGTCTCCTTCAAAGAATACGGTTCAAAACCTGCATTAAATAAAGGTTAATAGTTAACCTGTTATTTATCTAAGATGTCGTTCAGAAGAGTTTTGTGACTGCCAATAGAATACAAAGTCAATAATTCGTTTTTCTGATTTACCAGTAATTATCCAAAAGTCACATTGCCGGCTTTGATACTAGTCGACTCACATATAGTAAGGTTTCTAATATTTTTTACAAAGCCATTTTAAGACTTTCGAATAAATTCAATTTTCATTCTCAGTAATTGGATATACGAAAAATATTATTATTATTAAATTATCAATATATTGAATTGATGACCTACTATTTTTTTCCAAAATTTTTCATTTTGTCTAGAATTTAGAAATAATATATTTTTTTTATAAATTATGCTTTAAATTATAATAATTTTGTTAGAACAATCTTTTTCAAATTTTTTATATGTAGTTTTATATGTATAATACAACTTTTAAGAATATTTTATTTTAACTATTTTAATGTCCAATGCGTGCATTATACGATGACTCGTTGCATTATTTATAAATATTTTTGTATATTGATTATATACTAGATTGCGTTGTATTAATTTTTAAACAAACAATTTTATTATTATTATGTTTTAAGAATTCTCGTCTTACATAACAGATGTTATTTTAAATAAGTTTCAAACGATTTACAACAATATTAAACACTATTTAAAAATTATAACCACTAGTGCTCGCCCAGTGGACGAAAATTTACATTGTCTCTTTCGCCGTATTTTAGTTAACCATTTTTTTATGCGTCCATCAACACCTGAGAAAAAAGTAAAGTCGATTTATACATAGAACAAAAAAAAAACTTTTTTTTATTCTTTATAATAACTCAATAGATTTATAACGTCGATAAATAGATTATCTTTGTATCTGTTGGTAACACGGAACGACAATTAGAATTACAATTCAAAATATCAAATGTAATCGGTTTATACAGGGTGTGAGAGAACCATTTGTAACCTTTTTTTATTATTGAAAGATTACTGGTGGCCCGGAGGCCTTTCCAGCTTCACCAGGGCAGGTGGGCAAGCAAAGGCTCAGCCAGGAGGGGTGGGATTTGCTAACAGCTGCCTGAGCGCCTCCAAAAGAGACCTAACAACTCAAGTTTGTAACCTACTAGACTTCACAGTGGAAAGCTAAGTCATATTTTTACTAAAGACATTTTCTTTATTACCGCCTACTTTTCAAAATTGCTTTTTCATTTCCCAGTTACGATAGCAGAAAATTGTCGTTTTTTTTCAAAATTAGGAGCTCATTTTGATTGAGAGCAATCGATAAATAATTTATCAAATACTCGAATAAATATTATATGTGTAAATTTATTGAAAAAAAAATAATACGCGTAAGTTTGAACGTAATGATATTTCAGTGAAATCGTTAATCTACTCATTAATTGTGTTTCAATGAGTTCAATATTAAATTATAAAAAGTGTAATAATAATAATAGTTATCATTATTGTTAAATAGATTGCAGAACGGAGATAGCGTGATTGTTTTAATCGCTCTGAGATTATTAATGAGATTATTCGCTCGCCTAAATGTATTTGTATATCTAGATATAGTTGCGTTTAGTTTGTGTAGAATACTTCAATACTCTACGTCAAAATTTAAATCGCCATAAAATCATTCGAATTCGATAAGATTTTTCGGAATTTTTTTGATTGCAATTTTGATCTTTATCTTTAAGTTTTTTTTTATCTTTAAGTGAATCTTGACTTACTTGTTTATTTTGATTATCGTATATTTAAAATGGACAATTAAGCGAGTTGAAGAATAAATACGAGATTATACATTTATTTTAATTTTAATTAGTCACATAAAAATACTACATTTTAAGTGTCGATTAAGACATTGTATTTCTAGATATTAGAGAGGCTCGTGTTGTCATTTCAACATTTCGGTTTTAAAATTTTATTCCTAATACTTTCTCACAGTTGATTTTTATTCCATAAATAAATCGATCTAGAAATCGTATCTTTGGCTTTTAGACTCCAAGACGATCACCAAAAAGGCTGAATACGAATTCGCCTTAAAGCAGTATTAACAATAAGACCAGACCTTATGGTTCTAATGTAATGTAAAAAATTCTATTCGATTACCGAAATTGATCAAGATCCGATAGAATATCAGAAACATTTTTTTTTGTCCAATGAGTTAACATATTTTTATACTTAACGTAAATAGAACAATGTATTGAGCATAATTTTAGACATGTCAATCTCTGTCATGAGAAAAAAAAACCTAAAAAAATATGTAATATCTTTGGTACTTGTCGATCAAATTTATTATAATTAATATTCCTTCTTGATAACTTGTAGTTAGTCAATACTTTGCATAATAATCTAGTTCATATTTTGAATGCTCAAATAAACCGATTCGGTCTAACAAATTGTATTCCTTTTAGTCTAAGTGAATTGTACTTATAAAATGTACATAGAATGTATAGAAAAAATATATTGTATCAATGCGTATTAAATGTAATGTATGCAGTTTATGTAACACATTAATTCTAGAAGATTCGGATCATTTTGTTTCCATTATAATATTTATTTCACTGTCTTGTTTATTGTTTAATTGAATTTAGTAACTGACTTTTATTTGTAATTGGGTTATCGATGCTTTACAAGCCTCTTATGAGAATACTGTCGAGGAATATTATTATTAGTACGATCATTAGTCATTATTATATCACGCCCCGCTGTCACTATGATTGTGTAAAAGCACCGGTGGAAGCTAAGAAGCTACACGTGCGCCGTCTATCGCAAGTTGATGACACTGTGACGGAATTTTCCTGGTTTTCCAAGTTTATTTTTTTATTCTACCTAAGCTGATAGCCTTGAGAGGCTATGTCAGCGTAACCTTAACGTGTAGGTGAGCCTTCGGGGCTCTACCAACAACTGTACTGCGCTTCACCGCGATCGAGTGAATTGCTTAGGAATGCGAATAGGACCAACATATTCAAGGTGGGTGGCGCATTTATGTTGTGGATGTCTATGGGCTCCAATAACCACTTAACACCAGGTGGGCTGTGAGCTCGTGCACCTTTTTAAGCAACAAAAAAAAATTCATTTTCACTTAAAATGAAAACAGTTTTTGATAATTTATTAATGACGTGCTTATAAGGAAATCTTCGATAACTCATTACAAATAATACCATTGCACGCGGTCTTTATGGCTTAAAATACCTTTTTGTTGTAAAAATTTAAAGAAATTGTGTTCGGGCGTTATTAATTTTTTGATTACAAAAAAGAGCCTATCAATATTTTTTGCTTATTTTCTCTGATGGGGAATCTTAGCACATTATTGGGTCCTAGAACCCGTTGGAAGTTTTTGTATGCGTGTGTGTGTGTGTGTTTTACAGTCTTAGAGGAATAGTTAACTATCTGATTTAGATTAAGGTTAAACAGTGAAATAAGTAAAGTGCGCTGCACGATACTATTTTTAATATATTTAAAAAAGATATTATAGTACAGGTGATAATAATTTTGTTGAGATTTCGTCTTTCGTATTCGTTCATATTTCAAAATTTTCATTCCGAAATTAAATATACATTTAATAAAACTATGTTTACGATTTAAGCTTGCGTTCAATACTTGCAATTTATTATATCCGATATTTTGAATGTTTTACGGTTCTTGTGTCGACAGACTAGTGTTATTATTAATTATACATTTTCAGTTTACTAATAAATAGCTCGGTTTTCTGTTTTAAACGCTAGTTTTAAATGGAATAATAACTCAAAATAAAAAAGCCTATCAACAGTATCAACTTCGTAATCAAATTAGTACGTAAAATAGGTACTTACTGATTTAGTATTTTTATTACAGTACTAAAATAAGTAATGTACACATAACAAAATAATAAATGGCAAATATAAAGTTCAGTAATCTTAATTTTCTCGTTTTTATTTTCAGTAGATAATTAATAAATTAATTTAATTTAATCGAAAAGTCAGATTTATTTTTCATTATTTGATACGGTATAAAGTGTATGTAAAAATATACATACATAGTTTTATTATTTTTCGAATAATTATATTATAAAATACTAAATCTTTCAATGCAACAAATTGTATAGGCTGGTAGGTAGCGAAAGCCGCAGTAACAATAAAAGTAAATTTAGATGACGAAATAAAAACTTTGTAATTTTGGAAAAATTAAAATTAAAATCTTCCAAGCTGAATAGTGTTTTTAATACATACCCTGTAAATGCTTTCATAAACATACCTATAAGATACTTACATACATAATCTGATATTAATAAATTAGCCTATGGAATGTACTGAAAATAGCTCTTAGGTAGACGGGCTAAGTGCTATATCACAGAAAAGCCTTTTGTAAATTTACCAGCAACATAATATGGCAGGTGGCGTGCGAATCTTGTTATTGCTTGTATTTGAAATGCTTTCGAGTCACAATGCAACTTGACCAGGACTAACTATGTTGTATGATTAAAAATAAAAATGTATTGGATCGAATACACACTGGTGGTATTCGGACCAATTGAGTCCGCCCGGGTAGGTACTACCACCCCGCCTATTTCTGCCGTCAAGCAGTAATGCGTTTCGGCTTGAAGGATATAGGGCAGCCGTTGTAACTATACTGAGACCCTAGAACATATATCTCAAGGTGGGTGGCACATTTACGTTGTAGATGTCTATAGGCTCCAGTAACCACTTAACACCAGGTGGGCTGTGAGCTCGTCCACCCATCTAAGCAATAAAAATAAAAAAGAATACACAAAAATTGTTATGGTATTTAGTGAAATTGTTGAGTTGTTGCACACGCGGGTTTCAGTTTTTTTTCCCTACCTAAGCTGATGGAGTTGAGAGACCATTCCGGCGTAACCTTGACAAGTAGGTGAGCTCACGGGGCTCAAACCTGACGACCTTGCTAGCACTAACCCAAGTAAATCCAGTGTTACGCAGAATCTACCACCG